ATTTTTCCTGAAATGTTACAGTTCCATTTTAGTGGAATTCTAGGTGATATAATAATCGAACAATTATAGTAATTTTCATAAGGATGCAAGTGAAATGAAGACCATCAGGCTTTCTCGTTTATCAGAAACACAGGCATACTCCATCGGCCAACCTCCTCAGATGTTAGCCATTCTCTTTGTTATGGCAGCAATATGATGCTGTCCATTTCTAATCTTCAGCCATTGGCTAGCTGGTATGAGTTTTCAAAAGAGAATAAAGTTTGCTAGAGGAAAAGAGCATTCCAGTTGAGGGAGGAGAAAGCAGTGCGTACAGTATATAGCAAAGATTTAGGGGAAATAATTAGAAATGGAGGAATATAAGCTAATAGGAGATAAGGGGATGTACATGGCCAAGTAAAGAAGTCTGAAACTGATAGGTAAGTACACGGAAAATCATTTGCAGCCCATTTACCTTCTGTGTTTAGGTACATCAGATAATTCCAGCCTCTTTTGTTATTATTTAAGGTGAAAATAGAGCTAGCTGTATTTGTATTTTTTCTATAAAAAATGTCACATATTTGTACAACGCAGTCCATTTTAGCAGCCTAAAACTCTAGTTCTCTGTATATGAAGTTGTTCTTTGACATGAAGAAAAGGCATGACTAATTCAAAGGAAGGAAATTATTTAAGTGAAAGTTTGAGACTATAAAACTATTGAAAATTGCAAACTTGAAAATAAAAAAGCATTCATAAGAAAATAATGCATGTCAACTATGAAGCCATGGGTGTCCTTTTTTTATAAAAGATTCATCTTTCATGCCTGTGCTGTTTTTTTTTCTCTATGCCACAGAGACTCCATCAGAATTGATAGAGCATCTCAACTGGAGAAGAACACTCACAATTAATGCAGAATTTTCCCAACCACCCATTACTCACGCAAAAAAAAATCCAAATATGACATAAATTTCTTTTTGTAATTGACAGAATCACCTGAATAGAAGGAGAATGACATGTGATTAATTATTTCATAAATGCAGTGTTTGTCATTTTAAACTCTTACTGTCTTTTGAGTGTAAGTTTTCAAAATATGTTGCTTTTTCCATGTTGTTATTCCTTATCATCATTTATAATACACAAATATCTCGTTATACATTCATTTTATGATGTATTTTTATTCATCCATTTAATAAGTGTTTGTTATTTATTTATTAATTTTCTGCTCTCTTCTGTTCTGGGTAATCATACTAGAATGATTATCTTTCTATATAAACTTTTCTTTAGCATTTCATAATACTGTTCTTAAACAGCATTTGTCTTTTTGTAACAAATAGTTTGGTGCACAACAGGCTTACTTCAAGTTAACTATAATTCTTAAATGGTTCAGTACTCTTGGTGCCCCCCTATTTTCCCTATACACAATTCTTCTACTCAGAGAAACTTTTTCTGTAGGCTTTTACCATATTATCCAATAGAAAGGGTGTGCTTTTTCTCAGTCTGGGAACATTGTCTCTTACTAGCCCACACACAGAGGAGCCAACAGAAGTGTGACAAACATGATGGAAATTGGGCAATAGGCAAAATAAAATTTTGTCAGCAGTCCTGTAGAACTTGGAGTATGTTCTGTCTCACTTACAAATACTGACTTTATTTTCTGAAGAGGGCTGAGTGTTGTTTGTAACAAATGTTTGTCCTTTAACTTGCTGGAATTGTGAGCAGTGAAAGGACTCGATAAATGTCTTCATGTAGTGCTGCTATATCAGGAACACCAGAAGTTGGTGGCTTTACCAAGCAGAAATTTCTTCTTTCACAGTTTAGGAGGTGAGAAGTCCAAATTTCAGGGAGCCTGCTCTAGAGGAAGGCTTTCTCTCTCAAGCTCCTTTGGCTCTTGGAGGGGACATTCTTGTCTTTTTCAAGTTTCTGTTTTGTGGTTCTTTGGAAATCTCGTGTGGAATGGCATCTCTCTTTGTCAAGATATGTGTTCTCACCTGTTTGCTGCGTGTGTGAAAGAAGCAGATACAATGTGAGCATGGCCAAGTCTGACTTTTACCTGCTTCATGAAGGGAAACTGGCCCCATCAATAATATCCATAGCAGCAAACAGATAGCTACCTATCTGCTCCTGCACCTATATACACCAGTCATTGAGTTTGATACTCTTTGTTAACTAACAGACTTTACTCAGAGTTGTGATATCAAGAGTGGAGTATACTATATAAAACCATTACTGTAGAATGAGTATGAGGATCTAAGGTGGGAGGAGCATGAAAGCAGAAAGGTGAGGGTGGGTGGGAAGGGGGGTTAATCATAGGGTCGTGCAATCTGATGGAGTGAGTGGTGAAGAAAAAGGGAAAGATCCAGTGAGAAAAACAATGTATTCGAACTTTGTAAATACACCAGTATTAGAAACAAACAAACAAACAAAAAAGAGTGGAGTTTATTAGGGAAATATTTTGGGAAGTGGGAGAGGCAAAGAATATCTCACAAGTTCAAGTTTAGTTCAACAGTCCCAAACAGATTAACAGCAAAACATAATTCCTTAATTAGTGAAAGTCCTGACTTCATTTCACCAACACAAATTCAAAAAGCCTCTAGTTTCTTCAATCATCTGGCAAGGTTTGCTTCAGAATAGTTACAAATTCAGTTTCTCCTTCAATTATCTGGTGATAACAGCAAATTTTAACTGTGTCCAGAACAAATGCAAGAAACTTCAGGTCACACCTTGCCACAATTTCTCCACAGCAAAGCCACAGTCTCTACACCACCATCACCAATGTCTGGTTCTTACTAGGATTTTGCTCCAGTCTCCATCAAGTCTTTCTGCCTCTGTCCAATGTGGAAGCTCACTAGCATGTGCTCCCATGTGTTCTCCCCTCTCCCTCTCCCTTGCCCTCTCTTTCTCTCCCTTTCCTTCTCCCTCTCCCTTTCCCTCTCCCTCTCCCTTTCCCTCACCCTCTCCCTCTCCCTCTTCCTCTCCATGATCCCACAGCTGTTGATAATGGGTCTACAGATAAGTTAGCTGCTAATTAGAGGGTGCTAGCATAATGGCTAGAAAAGCCAACTAACTTTTCACTTAACATTGCAGCATCTATGTCTCAAAAGAAATTTACTTAAAATATGTTGTAAGTGCCATCAAGTTGAGTATGACTCATAGTGACCCTATGAACAAACGATCTGAATCCTGTTCTCTTTTGCCATCCTCACACTTCCTTGTACCCCAAAGCCATTGTGGCAGTCACTGAGTCAATCCACCTGGCTGAAGGTCTTCCTCTTCTTTTGCCAACCCTCCACTCTTCTCAGTATTATATCCTTCTCCAAGAAATACCCTCTCCTAGTAACACACCCAAAGTATGTTGAGACAAAGCCTCTTCATTCTTGCTTCCAAAGAGTACTCCAGCTGCACTCTTACCAAGACATAGCTATTTGTTCTTGTGGACATCCTTGTGATGTTCAGTTCTCTTTCCAACACCACAGCTCAATGGTATCAGTTATTCTTCTGTCCTCCTTAGTGATTGTCCAGCTCTAAAATACATAGCAAGTAATCAGAAAGATTATGTCCCGAATCAGACACATCTTAGTACTCGAACTGACATCATTACTCTTCAGTATTTCCCAGTGCAATAGTGCCTCCTTAACATAACAAAGAAAACCTTTCCCAAGTGGGATTATAACCTTAGAAATAAAGATTAGGATTTATAACACATATTTTAGGGAATTGCAGCTCAATGTCAAGAAGACAAAGATTCTTAGCACAGAACTGATAGGCAACATCATAATGGATAGAGAGGAGATTGAAACTATCAATAGCTTCATCTTGCTTTGATCCACAGTTAACACCCTTGATAACAACAGTCAAGTAATAAGTAAATGCATTACCCTTGGAAAATCTGCAGTTAGGGACCTTTACAAATATTTGAGGTGTAATGATGTCAGTTTGAGGACTAAGATGAATCTGATTCAGGCCATAGTCTTTCTGATTACTGCTATGCAGCTGAGATCTGGACAGTGAATAAGGATTACAGAATAAGAATTGGCACCTTTGATCTGTGGTATTGGAGAAGAGCACTGAACATCCCATGGACAGCCAAGAGAACGAACAGATATGTTTTGGTGTGTGTGCAGCTGGAGTATTTTTTGAAGGTAATAATGATGAGACCTCACGTCACATAATTAGTCATGTTGCTAGGAAGTGCTATGCTTTGGAGAAGGACATGATGCTAGGAAGGTTGGAGAGTGGAGGAAGGAGAGGAAGACCCTCATTTAGGTGGATTGACATGGTGACCGCTGTAATGGACTCTTGTGTACCATGAGAATGGCACGGGATAGAACAGATCTCAGAACTTTTGTTCATAGGTTCATTATGAGTCATACTTGACTGGATGACCCTTAACAACAACAAAATTTTCACTGGACACAATTCAGTCAGAAACATTAAGTATGACAAGCATGTACTGAATGGAGATTCCATCAGAAAACTCATTAAAATCACTAGTCCTTTAGACTATTCTGTCCCCCATATTTTAGGGCATTATTTTTATCGTAGGAGTAT